GTCAGTCCCGCAGGGATATTCTCATTTGAGTTTTTCTTATCGATCTGCGACTTTTTAACCATTCAACCAGACACCTGATGGAATTATTCTTTTCACTGACAGTCTATATTTTGGTTTCTGTTCAGTGTGTAGACAGAAATGTATTCTGCTTGAATACTATGCGGCAAATCCGTCCTACTTTCGACGTCGCCACACAACCAGGAACCGTGTTGATAAACGGCCTCAGTCAGATGGAGCTTGTGTTTAAAGGCGGTGTCCGACTAACAAATGGTCCCGGAAACATAGTTATGTATAGTTAAGTTCAAATGAAAGTATTTCTGAAAGGAGACCTCATGTTCTAACAAAGACTTGCGATAGAATTAAATCACTTGCTCTATAACAGACTTTCGATAGTCTTAACACAGAGACCCGTGAAGATCCGGGGTAGAATAAGTCTTCAGCAACCCATGCTTGCCACAAAAGGCGACTATGCTTGTCGTAAGAGGCGACTAACGGGATCGGGTGTCCAGGCTCGCTGACTTAGTTAATACATGTCATCGGTTCCCCATTGCGTAGATTGATGCTCATGCTGTTGATTACTGGATTGTCTGGTCCAGACTCGATTATTTACAGACCGCCGCCACATGAGCTGCGTGCTGAGTGCGGCGTAAAACTAAACTCACTCACTCACTAAACACAGACTTGAAATATTCGTAAATCCCATGGCCTAACACAGACCTATGATAGTAAGCCCAAATCCCACTTTGTGAAACAGGCCATGGATACCTTTTTCAAATAACCAAGGGAGAATCATATTACTGACTAGTGTACAATCTGTTTACCCCACCCAAGGCCATTACTGCGAGTTGTTTCGTTGCCAAAACGCTGATGTTATCATGCAATACCTCCGCAATGATTAAACTACCGATACACGTACGGCGTAGTCTTCAGGGGTTGGTGGAACCTCTCACTTCTCACACTTGGTTTACTCGAGTAACTTGGGCGGCTGAGCAGCAAACACTATAAATTGCGTCTAAAAAGCATTGCATTTGGGTCGGTGCCATTTTCACATTTGTCAACTTAAAAATGTGCTACTGCTTTCGTCCCTTGGGCGTATTGGACTGGAAGCATTGCATTCAAAGCATTCATTTCACGTACACTTAACACTGTAGTCATAATTGACTTAACTGCGTCATTGTCACTTTGTCTAGTGAAAGGGGTGCTGAACAGGTTGAGTGTGTTCTGTCGCTAAACAACGCCTCCTTGCCGAGCACTGTAAGCAATACTCAGCACCTGACAGTCAGTGAGTGAGTATGGTTTACGCCGCTTTTGGCAATATTCCAGCAATATCACGGCGGAGGACACAAGAAATGGGCTTCACATATTGTACCCATGTGGGAAGTCGAACCCGGGTTTTCGGCGTGACGAGCGAACGCTTTAACCACTAGGCTACCTCACCGCTCCGCACCTGACAGGGATCCTAGGCTTGCAGTCCGAGAACAATATTATCCCTTTCACCCAGTCCTGAGTGAGTGAGTGACTTCAGTTTCACGCCGCTTTAGCAATATTCCACCAACATTACGGCGGGGGAACACCAGAAATGGGCTTCACATTGTACCCATATGCGGAATCGAACCCGGTCAAGGCTACCTCAAGCAACCCATGCTTACCATAAGCGGCGGGATTGGGTGGTCAGGCTCGCTGACTTGGTTGACCAGCCATCGTATCCGAGTTGCGTAGAACGATGGTCATGCTGTTGATCACTGGATTGTCTGGTCCAGACACGATTATTTACAAACCTATATAGCTGGAGTATTGCGGAGTACGGCTTTAAACAACAACCAAAGTTTGATGATTGATGACTACTGATCATGACATCCCCATCTCCTTCCCTAAAATACTGAAAGTCCACAGACCTTTAGCAAAATCTAATGTATAGTATATGAAGATATTTAATTTGGTCCTGTAGGTTAATCAGTGAATCGGCGGGGGATTAGATTATCTGGCCGAGTCAGCTGGCTTTTAATGCCGTTTTGCACAGAATTTCGAAAACAGCTGTACGTGGTAGGAAAGTCCGAAGTGATGCAGGTTGTGTATCTCTTTGTTGAAGCCACAGTGAAGATCCGGTTTTGAATTGGTCTTATGCAAATCCATGCTTGTTGTAAAAGGCGACAAACGAGATCGGGTGGTCAGATTCGCGGAATTCTTCGATGCAGTCATCGTATCCGAAATTCCGAAGATCGATGCTCATGTTGTCAGTCACTGTGTTGTCTGTGCTGATTGAACAGCCAACAATGAAGTAGGTGGAATATTGCAGGGCAGCTTCAAACAGCAAACTATGGCGAAACCCGTACGCGCGGGCACAGTATAGCCATATTACATCACATTATTTCCACATGCAGTAGCTAAAAGGTGTAAGGTTGTAATAAATACCTAGTTTGCCATAAAAATCCTGCCTGTATCTGTTGTGCAAATTGGTCACCGTCCGCCACGGTTTCTTCATGGTTGTGTTCAGCGTCTTACAAAGTATTTTATGAACGCTTCTCATTCAAAAGGGTTTGTTTGTTGTTGTACGCCGTACGCAGCAATATTCCAGCTGTATGGGGGACAAGACAATCCATTGATAAACAGCATGAGCATCGATCTATGCAATTGGGATACGATGGCGTTTGTCAACCAAGTCAGCGAGCCTGACCACCCGATCCTGTTGTTCGCCTCTTACGACAAGCATGGGTTGCTGAAGACCATCTAACCCGGATCTTTACAGGTTATTCAAGAGGGAATGTACGCACCGAGAAATGCAGAGAAGGACCTGTCAATGCCCCCGACTGTAATGCAATAGCCTAAAATTAAACAAGTTCTGGTTCTGAGTCACACTCGTTCTGTGGGTATGCTGTGCTGACCCAGAATACCAAGGAAACCAAGTTGGTTCCGAGTCACCAGTGTTACTGGGGCTCCTTTCCAATTCCAATTGGAGTTGTTTTGTTTCTATCAAAAGTATATACTTTAAGAGACAAACCCACTGTGGGTTTGATAGAACATGGAACAGCACATTGTAACAAGGCATCCCAGCCTTACACAGGGCATCTCTGGTATGCCACCAACAATGCTATTGTCACCAACAATGCTATTCCTTTAGCACATGTTTAGTGTTGGGTTCACCGAGGTATTGTATTATAAATATATATGTACCGTGTACAAATCCCTACTGGACGGATATTTTGACTTTGCCTCTCATATGGCATGGTGGCCGAGCTGTGTAAGGCGCCGCGCTAGTAAGCGAAGGTGCCTGGATCGATCCCCACTTGTGACCGGGTGTAAAAAAACCTTGGAGCTAACATTACTTGCAGGCTCTTTCAGTGTTGTCACAACCCCAAGTGTGCAGTACACAACCCTGTGCACTTAAAAGAACCCACGAATCCGATGGTAGGTGACCAGATGGTGGTTAAAAGAATGCCAGAAAAAAAGACATCCGTTGCTCAAGGGAACACTCAAGCGCCTTGAGCATGTACCAGTTGCGTGGATATGTGCGCTATATAAATATCCTATCATCATATTCAAATGTCAGGTAAATGATGTTATGAAAGCTACTGACCATCATTTCAGATATAAATATACCAACCTGTGTAAGTTACTATTGGCGGGTGATGCATGTTCATACTGTATTGTTTGTTTGGCCCAGAGTAGGGTCATGAAACCATGGATCAAACATGTACTGACAAAATCATGGTCATAATGTATTCGTCTAAGGGAGGCAACTCAGCACAGAACACTGGGACAACTGAGCCAAGGATGCATTTCCAGCTTTACGCCTGTTGCGTTTTTTGTTTTTTTTCAAACTAAACAAAATTTAAAGCTTTTGTTTTGAAAGTAAATAACCGACTCTGTACTACAGTCTCAAAGAATGAATGCTTAGAGGACAATTCCACAAAAATGGAAGTCGGACAACTGGTAGTCTAGACTGAGGGCTTTGTGTACCCCTCTGATAAGTGTTAAATGGCACGGCTCCCACAGCCGAAAGCTATGAAATACACAATGCTATTTTAGAAAGTGATCAAATGTAACATATGTTATATTTGGGATTACACTTTCTTAGTAAAGTACAGATTTTAGTACTTTTTTGGGTACATATTCTAGCCCATCACCCAGGGTGTGGGTTCGAATTCCGGATGGGACTCAACCCAAAAAGTACTAGAATCTGTGCTTTACTAAGAAAGTGACCTCTCTGACTGCCCTTAATAGTACCCTGATGCCCTGGATCGTTGTGCTCATATCAATCACTGACGTGTCTTGCCAAGGCGACATCAAAATAGGAATGGCTCGTGTAATGACAACAAACATTCCAATGATGGGCTATGATGTGTAATAGTGAGACTTCGTCTGTTTAATTGGGCTGATGGTAATGTGGTGTCCGAGAGATGCCACGGACCGCCGCCATATTGCTGGAATATTTCTTAGTGCGGCGTCAAACAATATTCAACATTCAACGATACCAACTTACTCCAGCCTGTGTAAAACGTCTACCGCGACCTAACAGCTTTACACCTTCCAGAGTAGGAATTGAACCGAACGCCACAACACTGTAATATATATACAGAATTATTGCAAAGGTTTCTAAATATCAGGGGCCTTTATTGACAATCCAGTGACTGAGATCAGGAGCCACGATCTACACAACTGGGACATGCCGATATGCAGTAAACCAAGTCACGAAGACTGAACAGCATCCATTTCATTGCCTCTTCAGACAGGTGGACCATGTGTGTGAAACACAATACCAGTACGCCCTCACATGTAAAATGAATAACAAAGCTTCCTTGATATGTAAACACTCATCAATTTATATAGTAGAGGTATGCAGCCAATAAGCTTTCATAACAATACTGTTTTGTCATTTAATTATTCCAACACACTGTACCAAATATATTGGTAAAGAAATGTGATTCTAAATTATCTTCTTCTTTCTGTGAGTGTGTGTTTTGGCTGTGGCCATTGAATTCTTGAACAAAAGACAAACACTATTTACTAAAACATAGTTATTCCTGATTGTGAAAATTTCGGTCGTCACACAGCACCTCAAAATGATCATTTGGTTGAACTGTAAGTAAAGCACTGATACTTTCATCCATGAATTTGCTGTAGCAGGAACTTGCACACACCTGTAGACACCCATGCACAACACACGTCGATGGCAGATTCATGTATCTTCCTGTATCGCCCTGTTCATGAAATCCTGTTTAATGTTCAACTTCACCTTCAGAGGTTGTGACGTGTCCTCACCTCTCGCAGACATCTCCTGCTTCGCGAGGAGACCCAGCAATGGAGGAATATCTGCATATTTGGGTACTACATTCCTGGGCCGAGGCTCAGACAGTTCCTGGCAATAGGTACTCTCTTCCTCTTTGGGAATGAGTCTCCAGTCTGCCTTCATACCAGCATTTATCTGCCGTACACCTAGGTTCTCTCCCCTGAACACCTTCGTCCCCCACGCCTTCCCACTGCGAGTACTCTGTAAACAACAATTTGATAAGCATATAATAATAATGAGAAAATTTATAACGCGCCTTTTCCAAGCTAGGTATCCTGCCCAAAGCGCACAATTTGATCATTAATACCCCCGATAACCCTAGCTGTTAGTTTTGCACTAGAAGGTTAATAGTCTCACAACTTCTTTCACCGGGTACCCATTTTCTGTTGGGTGAACAGAGGCAATTTTGAACAAACTAACTTGCTTAAGGTGAGACCACATGTATCGCATGTGCTTTGTTGTGGGCAGACTCTCAGTCCCAGGAATCAACCTGCCAAACACCAAACACGGTCACCCATTTAAGGACTCTCCGCACCCAACATTGCTTAACTTCAACTGATTTGTGACCTCAGCTCGATGCACAGGACCACACACCGCCATATATAAACATTATCACCAGTGTTGAATGTTATCTATTCTTTTACAGCCTATCCCATGTAGATTCAGGGTTAGAAAATCTGTTGAATGTTGCTGAGTGTAGAGTTAAACAAATACAAACAAACTATTTCATCCTAAAATTGATGACTATTTCTTCCTATTTGCATTGAGAGAGTGTATTGAAATATACCTTGGCCTCAGTCTGTGATGTTAACATAATGTACAGAAGAAACTTTGTTAAAATGTAAAGAGAGAACTCTCTGACCCCAACTAGAATATAAATGGTAGATCCAATAAAGGTATCTTTCTGGATTAACACTATTTTGAGCAAAATTCACAATGCTTCAGTAATGACATGGCATGTGTCTACTTCACAAAGGTGGATAGTCAAAAAGATTACACATTGTAGATATTTACTGATTTACATTTACAAACCCTGACACTTGATTCCTGATCAAGAGATCCTGGAATATAAACTATGGCGACTTAGGCAACTGTGCCATGTGTATTCCACATCTTAGAGAAGCTAAGATAGATGAATGTCTTCTTTTACGTAATGAGTAAGTTAGTCCATAGTCCAGTTGAATCAAATATATGGAAGGTCATTGTTTGGGTACATTACGGCAGTGCGACTTGAATGAGAGTTCTACATTTCTGTCAGCACAACAACAGTTATATCATTTAGTCTAAAGTTTGAGTGAGTAAGTGAGTGAGTGAGGGTGTGTGAGTGAGTGAGTGAGTTGAGCTTTACAATGCTTTTAGCAATATTCCAGCAATATCATGGTGGGGGGGGACACCAGAAATGGGCGTCACACAATGTACCCACATGGGGAATCGAACCCGGGTATTCGGTGTGACGAGTGAATGCTTTAACCGCTAGGCTAGCCAACCGTCCCCAATAAGGACTGAATGTTCAGACCAGGAAAAAAGAATTTAATTAATCTTCATAAGTTTTCGATGATCTGTTTATCTGTTGTTTAATTCCGCACTCAGCAATATTCCAAATATATGGCACAGTCTGTAAATAATAGTGTCTGGATCAGACAATCCAGTGCTCAACAGCCACTGGGATACAATGACATGTGTCAATGAAGTTGGTGACTCTGACAACCCGATTAGGTTAATCGCCTCCAACGACATGCATTGCTTGCTGGAGACCAATTCTAACCCGGATCTTTACGGGTGGCCATGTGACTTGTGCATATGTAAAGTGTACTTACCAGAGTTATAACATTACCCAATAGTCACAATACATGCCGTAGACAACATATCCTTCCCAAAATGGAAGGTCATAGATACATTTTGACATAATCAGCTGATTATTATCCATTGATAACAGTGGCAGATTCGAGTAGATCACGAAGCATATTTGAGGAGATTAGACACAGCTGACAATTGACTCTCAATCTTGTTACCTTGTCCGAGAGGTCAGGAACAACCTGGGTTAGTCGATAATAGCTTTTTTCTTCGTAGCGTTCCGCGAACTTGAATCTTGTCACAACTCGGCCCTCGCCACAATTTCTCAAGTTTGCTGCAATCTCGAAGAGAGTCTTTCCACGGAAATAGCTTTCCCGGCCAACATATCTAATAGGCATTTTGAGACTTTAGGTAGGTCTTCTGGAAAGAAACTAAATTTTGTATTTCTCATGCATTTGAGCACATGTTTACGTGTGCCGCCATATTGGAATTGATTTTTCTTAGAGTTATCTCCCCTTGACCACAACCTTCTTGATCATTGATATGAACAGTGCTCATTTCACGCCGCGTATTCGTGTGAAAGGTCAGTCTGGCGTGTTCGACTGGTCTATGCACTAATTAGACAGAGGAACCGGACCGTAAAATTTAAATTCCATTCTAAAAATCATTATTGCAAAAGTATAACAGTAAAATACTGTGGATGAGTACTATCACTAGGAGTATATAAGTTACATCGGCTACTTTTTTTAATTATAGTCACGTTTCAATGTTGACCGTTACCCTCTTTTTCAAGCTAATCTATGAGTCTGCAAATGAAATTATGAACAGGTAAAAAGGGCTAAGTAAAATGTGCTATGAAAAAGGGCTACGTCAAAAGTGAAAAAGAATGATATTATTGCAAAAATAGTGTTCGTTTCTATTTGTTTTTATTTAGTTCATTAATAAAACATGAATTACATTTAACTTCGATCGAAAGTAAAACCTTTTGGTGTTGTTTTTTCTAAGCTTGTCTGATACATACTTGGGTATATATAATGTCGTTTGACTTTTGATCATTTGTTTAACTTGCGTAAAGGTGGTGGTGTATAAGCGCCCTCGTCATGGAAGTCTCCCAAGTTAGACTACAAGTAAGACTGCTCACAGGCAAACTGTAGCGCAAACAGGGTTGCGCAACAAAGAGAAAATGACCAGTCTTCGTATATCTTTCGCACTTTGTTGCGCAACCCTGTTTGCGCTACAGTTTGCCTGTGGACTGCTCCACGACAGCAATACAAAGTGCGAGGGTACACCAGGAAGATAGCTGGCTCCAGGGTTTCCCACGAAGGGGATCTGCCTCCTGGAGTTTGTACAAGAATGGAAATGACAGTCCATCGGAATTGCTGTCCATCTGTTTATATTTGTGCTTGGTTTGGCAGAGTATTTGTTTTACTAAAACGTTAAAGAAACGAAAAATGAAAAAAACAAAAACAAAATCAAAACAAAAAACTTACGTTTCAAGATTAATGCCAATGGAAACATTGTAAGATAATATGAAATAGTTCTTAAATGCTTTTAACTTCAACTAAGGGTACTACTACATAAATATATTACTACTAAAGTATAACCATTACCACCATGGAGGCAGTAGATAAATGAAGGCCGAAGGCCCGGGTTCAGGTTTCGACCAATAATTGTGCCAATTGTAGATTTACACAGAGTTATTTCAGGTCATGCAATATAACTAAACACCCCTCCCTAGCCATAAATTATGAACGGTTCCTAACTATAATCTGGCGATTTTTGTTGTTGATACACAATCAGACGAAAAGATGCAAACAAATACAGGCGTCTTAACACTTAACAAATAGTCTATGATTCCAACACGTCAAACTAGCCACAGCGTGTTTAATATGACATATTGTGGGTTAGGTCGATATGTCACACCAAATAGTCGTGTAATATTTGGTCGATGGAGGACGGACAAGCAAAACGTGTGAAACTTGGTTCATTGTGTATACTTAAGTGAAGCGCCTGCGCATCATACCCAGGGAACCTGGCTGGTATTCGCGTGATAGAATGTTTGTTGCACATGCGCAATGTCTCCTAAACTGCCATCTGTAAATGGCTTGGAGCTGTTAAGTGTGCTTTGTAATTAGTTTTGTCCTATTGTAGGACATTTAACTTGATTATAAACCATTATTTAAATGCGCCTTGCGTGGACAGTGGGACAGAAAACTGACCAAGTAAAGTCGAAATATCGTCATCCGCCACGCTCAGAAAGTGACAAAATTAACCAAATTCCGCATTTGACCTGTTTTCGTGTTTTGAAAATGTTTTTGTTATTTACCACAGGGCAACAAAGCCACATTTGCAGGTCATATGTCAAATCATGGAAATCGGGCGGACTGTGATAGGATTCCACCATGTACACCGATGTTTGCTATAGGCTAAAAATAAAACGAACAAGTGATGTTTGTTTGTTTGTTTATTGTTTAACAAGCAATGTTCCAGCTATATGGCGGCGGTTTGTAAATGATCGAGTCTGGTCCAGACAAACCATTGGTTGACAGCATGAGCATCGATCTACACAACTGGGATACGATGGCATGTGTTAACCACAAGGGCGTGGTTAAGACAAACCTGGAAACGCAATCAGAGTATTCTGTGAAATGAGCACCATACTGAGGACCGTTAATGAGAAGACACGGGAGGATAAACTCAATTTTTTTCAAACGTCAAGACGAAATATGAAGCCTTTTCTGTGTGTCTCCTGGTGTGACAGTGATGGGAATTTGCTAAATCTCAACTCAATCCAATAACCTATCGCATGTCTAGGCATTTTGTGATGAGGCATTCCTGTTAATATGGAGATACGCTTTGAACAAATCAGGCAAATAGCTGTTATTTATACACACAAATTCATAATCATGACATGCCTGGCCATTGTTCTTCGACAACATCCATTAAATCGCCCTCCCTCCCACTCCCCTTTCAAAGTTCACATGCTAAAAGCTAAAATTCGAATTATTCAGAGCTGAAATATTTAATTAAAAATAGACGAGCTCTGAAGGAAGGCCTGACGCACATTCCATTCGCGGACCTGGAATACCGAAAGAACAATGGTCTGAATTTGATCTCTATGTCCACTGATCACTTGAATCGAATGAACTGATGACTCAATGTTAGGTTGCCCTATCACACCGACCTTGTCCATTGTTTTTGATCCCAGGAGGGGGCGGGGAATAGGGGTTGGGGGAGGAGGGGTTTTGATGCTGCAAATTCCATCAGAGATCTCAGAACATAATTGTAGAGCCAAGGGACACGGTTCCAATCTGGCTGTTCATTGTCTCTCTCCTGCTAATGTCTTTTGTCCACTCAGATCGATAATCCCGTCGAGACTTAATGTCAGAGTTGTTTGCAGACATTAAAATGCAACTCCTTGAAAAGATGTGCACAGTTTCAAATTAGCGACAGCGTTAAGCGTCTCGGCGCAATGATTGTCATAACTATTCCTCGCAGACATGGGCCTTGAGATAACATGTCTTTCGGTTGTGTTTGTGACATTGATATGATTATCTGAAGCAACGGTACGTTATTAAATAAAGGAAATGTTTGTTTGTATTCAAGAATCATGTCCATGATTCTGTGTAACTAATATGGCCCGTATAACACAATTGTGAAATTGAATTGGGATGAGGAGGAGAGGGTTTAACTCAAGTTCAGCAGCCGACCATTCTTCGGGGCTTGTATTTGGGGCTGGTATTTGTTCCACAAAATGCTGAAATTAATGCTTAATAATTTGATTACATTTCGAGGGTTATGCTGGATGGGATAGCGTGAAAAAAATGCTGTAAAATGTTTGGCTCGACTCCAATAATGCCTGAAGAAAAGATACATTTCTAACAACCTGGCCTGTATAAATAAATATATGAATGAATGAATGAATGAACACTTTGAATTAAACAACGCGTTGTCATGTTGATAAGATCCACAACAAATATATGAAGCGTTTGTAAAATATAAGTACTAGTATTAATGTCTTTTTACGTGGACTGACTGAGTATGGTTTTACGCCGCTTTTAGCAATATTCCAGCAACATCACGGCGGGGGACACCAGAAATGGGCTTCACACAATGTACCCATGTGGGGATTCGAACCCGGGTCTTCGGCGTGACGAGCCAACGCTTTAACCATTAGGCTACCCCATCGCCCCTTTTTACGTGGAAGGTATACAGATCTATATGTAGCAATCTGACGGCTATTATCACATTTCAGAACAATATTTTAAATTTCACAATATATTTTATAGTAATATTATATTATATAGTAATATGATTAGAAATGACAGTCAAGATATGAAACTGAGATGCAGACTATCAAGTACTGATAAATATCATACCAGTAAACCAACAAACTGCTAACATTGACGCAGCGTCACTGATAAGAGTAACCAGTCACTGTGTGCTCGCCTCTGGACCTGTGTACTAACTGACACTATGGACAATCATATTCACATTGATACAATTACGAAAATGAAATTAAAATTGTCGAGTAGTCCCATACGGTTGTTAGGCCTAATTGCAGCGATTTGTCTGTATTTAAGGGTGAGTCAGACTGAACTCAGACGGTGGGGCTTGGGGGGTGAGAAGAGGGGGGTGGGCGGCTCGTCTCGCGCTCCGGAATTATACAGTCACGTGACTGCACGTGCTGACAATTCAGTAGCTGATAAAGGGATCCTGAGCACAGACGTGTGATTTCTTGCTTAGGATGTTTTAGTAAGAGAGAATCCGTCGCAACGTGAGATCGATGTGAACAGACTGTTATCAGTAACCAGAATGATGTATAGTGTTCGAATTCCAAAATATGTTTGCTTAATATTCATCTGAACTATGATGGGTCAGATTTAGCCTGTTCGTAATAATAGTCTTAGGCCAAATGTTAGAAAAATCTTTATCTTTTAGTCTCTCTCAGCAGCAGTAAAAGTGTTATCTAGTAACTCTTATGACACCTCCCACCCTCCAAGAATTCTTGTCGATATGGAACTAGCTACAGAATTATCAGGTTACGAAAAACAAACAAGGTTTACTCCACTGTTGAAACAGTGTCCACATGTTCATAGACCAACTGCATGAGTATTAACCACATGGACGGTGACAAGCACTGGTGTTCAACATGGTCAAGATATACAGTATGTATGATAAGATCGGAGTATTATATTACCGGATTTTGATCCTATCTCTACATTTGGCCTATGAGTAATAAGTTGATATTAGTCGATACTAAGAACAATTCCTAATAATTTTCACAAACAGAAGTCCTGAATTAATTTCCAAAATATGTCACCATCTTAACAACTTTAAATGAATTCTATATCTTACCATAGTCTCCTCATATATTATTTCCATGTCATTATACCACATGATTTAAAAAATATATGTTATAATGTACATAATTTATGTGTTTATATTTGTAGTTTATAGAATATTGCCACTGTTTCTTCATGGAATACTATGCAATAATATCTTATCTTAC